CAAATTTAGTTTTTTTAAGTCTTTACATACGGGGTGTTCAAAATTTAAGCATTAAGGTATAAAACTTAGTCCGTCCCTGGTAAACAAAAAAAGCAAAACATGTTTCAAGAACACTACTTTAAGAGGTCCCTACCAGGGTCCATCATATTAAATTTTTATTAAATTATATTCAGTACTTTAAAAGTTATTCAAGGAAAACCAATTTGCAGGCGCGTCCTTTCGGGGCCCATGTCTCCGCAAGGAGGGCCAGTAGGAATTTTTTTTATAGGAATGTGTCATCTTATTTTTTCATGTTCTATCTGAATCCGAGATATTTCCCACATTTTCCCGGACACCCTGTATAGGTAGTGTTAACCTAGCGAACCGAAACTATAAACGTAAACGAAACCCTAGACCAAACCAGAAACAATTCAGCAATAATTTTGGCGGGCGGTTCGGGTCTGGACGGCGGGAACTTTAAATGTAAACTGCGAAGTTTTCGAATGTTTCACTTGGTTTACTGTGGTTTCGATATTTATAAAACTGTGAATATTTATATTTAAAAAAATATTTTTTAATAGTTGATTTTAACAGAAAATATAGACTTTATAGACTTTAGGTAAAAAAATAGACTTTTATAGACTTAAGACAAAAATATAGACAAGTCTTTAAAAAAACTACCTGCTGGGAGCCCTGCGGTAGGTACTAAAGACAAGATTCAGTTTTCGCACACTGAGGCAAATAATTTTAAAGCGGTTATCGAATTCTCACCATAATTTCAGCAGTGACACGGACGCAGATGAACAAGAAGTGCCACAAAAAGCACGATAGACTCCTTTAGCGTATTAACCAACCAATCCCCATTCATGAACCCCAATTGAATGTGGGTGTTACTTACTCCCGGGTATAGGAGGATTTCGGATAGTTTTGGGAGTCTATTGTGCCCCGAAAATCAAAATGTTTTCCCTCCTCAACACGAACTCAATTAGCCAAAAAAAATCGGGCGTATAGCCCGGCCCCTCAAACAAATTTTGGAAGGGGACTTAACTATCGACACTGTCGTACATGATCTCCCAAGGGAGATTAACCAGCCGTGGTAAAACTTTGTATCCATCAAACACAGGTGATTGTGTTCAGTTGCGGGATACGTAGGAGAATCGAAAGGGAGATAAATATCTTTCGGAGACCAGTGCATGACGATGCTAATGGGGCCAGCGTACGTATAGTACACTATAATCATACTCAATGTATTTTTGGACAACTTGTGTTGTATTTTAAAGGCTAAACCATGTCACAAATAGCGAGCGACTTTTTGTATTAAACAAAAGTGTTTGAAAATTTTAGGCCTCTATCAGCCAAGTTCTTAAAGTAGTGCGATTTTAAACAAGAATTTTTAAAGTTTTTTTATCCAAAATATTGAAAATCGCTGGTAGACCATCCATTCGTTTTGAAGTTGATACAGCGCACATTGCTTCTTATTGAAATAAAAATTAAAGATAAGTAATTTGAGAAAAAATCGTGTAGTAAAACTGTCGAACCAAAATTAGTTTAGTTTTATTTAACAATGATTGCAGTATTGCAGAAAGAGATAATTTTTAAAAAATTTTAACTGCCGATTTATTTAATAAACACCATTTTTAAATTTGCGAATTTTGAGCGAAAATATTTTGAAAACAAGTCAAGTTCTAAAGTCAAAAAATGTGTTCCTTCCATTTTCCTCTAAAACACGGCCCTGTTGCTTGGGCACCCCTTAAAAATCGCATTTTAAAATACTTTGCGCGACATTAAATGATGTATCATTTCTTATATTATGCAGTTGTGTTTGAAATCTCAATTAAAAATTTTTCACCATACAAGTCTCACTCGTATACGTCTTCAAGAAATAAAGAAATACACCGGTCTTGCAAAAAATTAGAATTTTCAAGTGCGCTATCTATGGGGGTTAAAAGAAAAAAATGTATGCATTTTACTTGTCTACCCTTGAGGTAAGAAGATTATATTCCCTAGAGGCAAGTTTTATGTGGTACGGCGTTACTTAAAAAAACGATTATTTTTGGCCCACCCCAATAATAATATTATAATATAATATTAATAATACCAAATAATTATATTCCGGATATTTATACAGTGCTTGCAAATCCAAGTCCGACCGGGTTGGGAAGGACAGTTGTTCAATATCCGCGTGAAAAGAACAAGAATAGAACGCAAAACAGAATTTGATTGGTCAGAGCCGGCAGGCTGGCGTATTGTAAGCGCCTTCTGTTTGGCGTTCTATCCTTGTTATTTTCACGCGGTCGGACTTGGATTTGCAAGCACTGTATACTGGATACCTTACATACATAATGCCCGGTCTTCGCTTCGAAATAAAAAAAATGGGGTTAATACTAACATAACATAACTTGAGTTATTGGATTTGTTTAAAAAAATATATAAATATGTGGAAGCCTTTGGATTTTTTGTATTAAACAAATATAGTATGTATTTCATATTTCATTAATTATAAAATATAATATCACTTTAATGTCTGCCTTTGGACCTTCTGCAGTAACCGATCCTTTTAAGGTGATTTTTGAATACTTTTTCGAAAATTTAGACGGGTATCGTGGCTATAACTTGACGCATGTTGGCTTTTAGGGCTTCAACGATTCGGGTTTGTTGGCGTAGACACTATTTTAACATAGTTCATAAAAATAAATCCAGTGGCGTCAAATCGCATGATGTTCAAAAAAGTAAAGCTTAATGACGCCTTACCAGAATGCACACCAAACGGTAACTTTTCGTGGATCGCATGAGAATTGAGTTGGGTTGGGTGGGGCTACGTTAAAAGTCGTGTCTGCCAAGTTATAGCCGAGATACCGCCCGAAATTATTGAAAAAGTAATAAAAAATTACCTTATATGAATCGGTTGCTGCAGAAGGTCCTGAGGCGGCAGTTTAAGTGATATTATTTTTCATTATTAATAAAATACATTACATTTTCGATTATTAAATAAAAACCCGAAGATTTCCTTGAATTTGTGTCTTAAAAAAAATTCGGAAACTCAAGTTATAAAGGGTGTCCGGAAATAGTGTGCAATATTCTACAAGCAGTTTTTAGGGCCAAAAATATGAAGAAAACTTAATGGCCCCTAAGGGACCTACAGCCTGAAGATGTTTTATTATTATTATTTCCGAAACGGTTTAAGATAAAGTAATGTAATTTTGAGAAATACATGCATTTTTGTCATTAATATTTCTTGTTAAATACAGGGTGAGTTTTAAGTTGACGCGTTCCTTTTAACAGTGTGTAGAAATCAGCTAGACAAATAAATATTTTAAGTAACTTTTTTATCAAAACTCAAAAATAAAAAAGTTATAGCCCATCAAAGTTTAATTAAATTTTAAGCCGGTCCTGGCTATTGTTAACGAAAAACATAACCATAAAAATATCAAAATAAACAATGCAAAATGTCATATTTGACAACAAACATAATCATTTAAATTAAATTGACATTTTGCAATAAAAAATGTCATTATTTACTTAAGTTGCAGCATTTGCATTCATTATTGCTATAATTATAAACCATTTTTAACAATAATTGAGGCACATTGCTAAATGTCATTTTGATTTAAATGGTTATGTTTGTTGTCATAGATGACATTTTGCATTGTTTATTTTGTTATTTTTATTTTTATGGTTATGTTTTTTGTTAACAATAGCCAGGACCGGCTCAAAATTTAATTAAACTTGGAAGGCCTATAACTCTCTTATTTTTGAGTTTTGATAAAAAAGTTACTTAAAATATTTATTCGTTTATCTGATTTCTACACGCTGTTAAAAGGAACGCGTTAACTTAAAACTCACCCTGTATATTAAATTAAAAGAAAAAAAAGATGTTCTTTTTATTTGTTATTCGAAAATGGTGCATTTTATTGTTGTTCAAGAAGAGTTCCTTATTTACGTAGAAAACTATAAATTTTTATATTCTGCAGCCAATTTGTAAAAAATGCACAGACAATATTTGGGGCTAAAAAAACCTTAGGCCGACCCTGTTTAATACACTTATAAATAATAAATAAATTTAGCTTTAAAAGTTAAGTAAGCATACTGTTTCGGAAATAATAATAACAAACCATCTGCAGGGGGTCCTTTTAGAAACCACTATTTTCGGGACACCCTGTATACATACATCCTACCAAAAATATTTAAAACATTTAGGTCTAAAATATGTAATTATTTTTCGAAAAATTTTAAAAAGCTTATACAGGATGGCCAATATATAACTGACTGGTTTGTCTCTTAAATTTTTGTAAAATGAAATAAAATTCGTCAATATTTTTTCATATTTTTTAACTAGAAAGGTTTATACCAACATACCAAGTAATATAGAGCAGCTAAAAGACAATATTTGGGAAGCGAAAGCGAAATATTCCTAACGAAAACTACCAAAAAATGATGGAAAATGTAATTAGAAGGGGTCAGGTTTGTTTAATATTATTTTTTATACATGATTTCTAACTTTGAATTAAAGATTAAGATTCAAAAAATTGACGTATTTATTTTATTTTAAAAATATTTAAAAAACAAAGCAGTCAGTTATACATTGGCTGACATATATCTATACGGTCATTTATAGTCACCTATGTGATGGTATATAAATCCTGAGGTAAATCCAATACATGTATACTATATACGAGTATATATCGTACATATAGTACATTAGATGCACAACTCTGTATTTGCAGGATAAGTGATTTTAAGAAAAACACTATATATACGATATATACGATATATTATATCGTACATATGTACCTATATATATATATACTTGCGTTTTACAATTTTTATGGTCACCTATGTGATGGTATATAAATCCTGAGGTAAATCCAATACATGTATACTACATACGAGTATGTATATGTGTATGTATCGTAGATATGTACCTATATATATACTTTTACAATTTTTACGATTTACATACCATCAACATAAGTTGTAGTTAGTTTTAAAGATACCCTCTAAATTTAAAAATGTATGCATACCTTCATTTTTGAATTTTGCTGTACAACTATTAACTATATTGCCTAAAACAACTATTAGCTGTCTAAGAAGTGTATGGGTTTCCTTTAGAGTTGCATCCGTCATAAAAGCTTGCAATTGCATATAAGCTTTATCGTGAATTTCCGTTACGGCGCAGTCGGTTATTAAATTGCCCAGAGCCGAAATTGAAGCTGTTTTAACCAAACTAAAAAATAAATTAAAAAACATAATACGTATATTATATCGAAGGCAACAACGCAGATGGGCCTTATACGCTAAAATGAAAAATTTTACACAAGACGTTTGAAGGTTTAATTTTTGTAAATATATAGGATTATTTATAATAACACACGTTACTTAAAAAGGCCTACTGTAATACATATTTATCATTCTAGCGCGTATCCCTTTCTGATTTAATGCCCTTGATAGGTATATTATGTAGGAATTTCATTTAAAGGGCCTTCATCCGCATTAGAACTTTAAAGTAAAAGTAAAATGCATTATTTAATTTAGAATATTCTTGTCTCTTTAAGTATTATATTGAATAAGTGGTTTAAGCAGAAATCCTACAAACTTTTTCCAGATATTTAACATATGGGGCATTTCACGCCCGGCGGGCAACTTTAAAAGCAAAGCTATTTTAATTGTTTTCCTATTTGGGTATGCTATACACCCATTGGGTCTTATTATTTACCTACAATTATATGACTCTGCTAGGGGTCTGTGAATACTCGGCAGCACGTCGTGCACCATGTATTTTAAAGCTGACTACTCGATTTAAAACGCTTCCAAAAAAAAAAAAATAAAAAATGAATTTTATTTTAAATTTAATGCTCTTTTTAACCATGAGCTCAAATTTAAACAATTTTTTTAGCAATTTAAAAAAAATTAAAATGTGCCAACACAAATAATTTTGATAGTCTTTAAGCATTTTTTATACGATTAACGAAATAAAATTTTAAATTTGAGCTCATGGTCAAAAAGAGCATTAAATTTAATATAAAATTCATTTTTTATTTTTTTAAGAATCTTTTTAAATCGAGTAGGCAGCTTTAAAATACATGGTGCACGACGTGCTGCCCCTGAGGCCCCTGAGTTTCGCAGAGTCAAATACCCAAATATTAAAAAATGCCGACTATTGAATTCGCAAATGAGAATCCGAATTCACTCTAAAAATCCTTAACTAAATAATTTTCGGAAAACGCCTTTAGGTAATTTAGAAATTTTGTTTCCGTTAATTGGAAATATTGAAAAATATTATCGAAATGTCGGAAAATTTAGGTAATTTAGAAATTTTGTTTCCGTTAATTGGAAATATTGAAAAATATTATCGAAATGTCGGAAAATGCTGGCACCGTAAAAGTTAGGGGGGTATATCACCCCCTACACTCTTTACGTCCCTGACACCAACTCAAAAATCCCTTTGAAGTACCGCTCAGAAACAGTTGGGATGCATTGGGTTGTGTTCGCCAACGCCGAACACACCTATTCCAATACTTCGGAATATCTATCGGATAGTATCCCAAATGTGCCTTGGTATGAGTTGAAACTGCGGTTTGTACGCGGCTTAACACCTGCGATTATTTGAGCCTTTTTTATATTTTTTTTTATACACAGGTTATCGCAAAAGTTGCGCCCTCAGTCTGGGCGTATCTATGGGAGGACACAATTTTTTTTACCAGTAACAACACGATTTTCATTTCAAAATCATTCAATAAAATGTGTGAAAATGCCTTAAAAAATTTTTAATTTCAAAGAAAAACTTTTCAGTGCATGAGTGATTTTTAGAAATTTTTATTTTGACCCTCCAAATTTCTTTGGATCACCCCATGCCCCCAGGAATTCCAGATCAAATGTGACGTAAAATAAATAACACCTGACTAAAGTAACATTTCGTCAATTCCACGGTCTTATACAGGGTGTCCCAAAATTAGGAGGCCAAACTTAAACAGTGCATTTTTCATAAAAAAATAACACTTTTATTTAATAAACATGTAACAAAAAATGCCCCCTAACGAAGCTATGTCCCTCTGAATAGGAGCCTCGGGGAATAATTTATATAAAACTATTCCTAGAGGGTTGAACATGAAGAAATGAATTTTCGGTACTTTGGTAATTTTGACATGCTGAATTTAAATCTAAGATTAAAACTGTTAAAATTTAATCAAAGTTACAAAAATCTACTTAAGTTGTTTACGAAAAAAGGTACTATGTATTTGAATCACTGAATAGCATACACAATATTTATTACACATCTCATATTTTCATTAGAACTTTGTAGTGGGCTTTGGGACAAAAATGACGTTTGGGTTATTTAAGGACTTTACATTTATTGTAATAGTTTAGTTGCTCAATTAAATACATTCTTTTGTCGAAATAAAATCTATGTCAAAAATTGGTTTTTCAAAGAAGGTTTGGTGCATAAATTGGCCTTTTACCTTCTATAAACAAAATCACGGTGACGAGGCCACTTTTTGGGAACAAAACTATTATGATACAATTTACTTAGGGATATTAGTAATATTTACCAGCGATCATATTGAGACTTGAGGATTTTCCTCAATTCTATTTAGCAACCCCCAAAATCATAATTTTCCCTTGCCCATGCAAACTTTTAAATGAACCATGTTCCACTAAATTTCCATGTACACGGCTAAATACTTTCCGATGTGGGGGTTTTATTGATGGAAACCGTCTTTGGTACTCTCGTACAGCGGCACGGGCAATACCATTGCCATATAAAAAAAATAGCAAAAATCGAGACAAAAAATGTTAGCTATCCCTTTTGGAAAAATTTTAACTAAAATAAATGCACAAAACATAAGAAAAAAAGTCAGCATTCAAAATTTTTTCTTTTTATTTTAAAAAGTTCGGGCTATTTTTTTAACTTTGCCCCCAAATGTTACGCCTATGATTTAATGTTATCAGTTTTGATCTTAGATCTAGATTCAGCATGTCAAAATTATTAATTAATTTCAACCCTTTAGGAATGGGTAGTTTAAAAAAATTATCCTCTTAGGCTCCTATTCAGGGGGCTTTAGCTGCGTTAGGGGGCATTTTTTGAAACATGTTTATTAAACAAAAAAGTGTTATTTTTATATAAAGAATGCACTGTTTAAGTTTGTTCCCCTAATTCGGGACATCCTGTATACGTGGTCTATTAACTTTTTAATACTGTTCTTTGTTGCCATAATGATTAAAAATTTACTACAATTGGCAATGTTGTCAATAAAAAAAAATGAATCCCCTGTATATTTTTAAATAACAAAGGTATAATTTTTTTTTAACAAATTGGTATAACTAGGGGTCTGTACATAATATACCTTTAAGGTGGTACGCGACTTCTGCGGCACCTTGTATATTGTTGTATTTTGTAATAAGCTCCCTACATCAAAGTCCCACCACGCGACTTTGATAGAAATAATTAAGGTTAATTTTCTGTCAGTGTCTAATTTCGTCCTTTTTCTAAAAATAATGCAATACCTATACATATGTATTTTTCGCATTGTATTTCGGGACACCATTTGTTATAAATAATAGCTAACCAACTATAACCTTCCTATTAAATAACCATACCGACCGAAAACTGTTTGGCATTGTATTTCGGGACACCATTTGTTATAAATAATAGCTAACCAACTATAACCTTCCTATTAAATAACCATACCGACCGAAAACTGTTTGGCAATTTAAAGTAAACGGGTCAGCTAGAAACTTTCCGACCATTACATGTTTAAGCCATAAACGGTGTTTTGCAACAAGACGAGTCACCAGGGTATGTAATGGATAAGGAGCTGGAAGTTCCAGTCTTGTATCAGAATCAAAGAAAACTTGAAAATCGGTCGTAGATTCTCTTGTTTCAATATATTTTAAAAACCAATTGAAATATTATAGGGGTACCCACAAAGCAATTATTATAATTTTAACAAAATTAAACCACAGTGTGAAAATGAATATAAAGTATACTTACACGTCATTATCATTTGCAAGTGTCACAAGAGCCGGAGTTACTTTTTGGCTTAGCAATGGTTGATCACACATGCTAATAATGTCAGAGAACAGAGTTGCAGCTGCAGACCGAACCAGTGGTCTTTGGTGTACAACAGCCTCCCACAAACTGTTCACCACCAATTCTTGTAGATCGGCCTCGCATAGTCTTCTGACTGTCAACTCCAAACAATCCAATGGCGCACCGCACAATGGCAAAGCGCACGTGAACTTTTTAAGAGTATTCGTCAATCCTTCATAATCATCACAATAACTTAATACTGATACTAAATAAACGGGAATAATATTTAAACTGGGACAAAACTGATTAAAGCTAGAAATAATTTGTTCCAAATTTTCGATTTGGGATTCTAATAAGGGACGGATTTTGTATTTAGTAAAGTTTTTGCCGAAAATTATACAAATATGAGAGAAAAGATTCATAAAACTATGAAGAAGGGCCTGTTGACTAGTATCTATGTGGTTAAGGTTATTTATAAGATCTGGCAACCTAAAAAAGATCGATAGTTAAATAATTGCAAGAGCTAAAATAAAAAAGGGAAATGCGTTTACAACTTGGTTTAAAATAAGTCTATAAATTTAAATCCAAAGTTGCTTCATTTGGATGTTTTAGCACGTGTTTTTCAAACACCCTACATTTAACTTACATTATATCTAATATCCAGTTTAATTCATTCCAATTCTCCCTGGGGTGGTTTGCTATATACTTATCAAATTCAAATATTACCATACCACTATTAATCTCGGATTTGTAAAAGTTTTCCGGATTTGTTAAATGACTACATAACTTTAGAAAATCAGATCCTGTAATTAAATTGTGTTAAAATATGCCTTCATTATAATAATTAATGTTACTAACTAATTTCTATAGCAATGCCTTTTTCAATGTTTGATAATATGTGCTTCTTTAAAGCAATAGACATAAGTAAAAATGGAAGCAAATTTTCCAAAACATTTAATATTCGTAGAATTTTATCAGATGCCTGGCTGATTTTACTAGGAGAATCTGTACCTTTTAAATATATATTAAATTTATGTAACAACTGTTTTAAAAGGCTCGAACTTAAATAACCTAAAAGGTGTTAAGTATCAGATTTAAACAGTGTAAATATTTAAAATAAATACCTTCTTTAAATGCCCATTTTCCCAAAACTGGAAATAGTAGCTGGGTACTTAAATTGACTATAATAGAGCTGCTATCATTCAAAGTACCCAACGCCAATTGTTCACATTGAGAGTACTTGTCAGTGTCCTCACAAATGCTAAAAAGTAAGGATAATGCTTTTAACACAGTTTCTCTGACAGCTTCTTCTTTGTCCTCAAGCATTTGTTGGAGCATTGAGAGTATTAGGGAATTTCTAATTGGACTCTACAAAATGAAACGTTTCTTTTATATTTTCATAAAAAACTATAAACTCACAGAAACAAAAGGAATTAGAGCTGTACAAGCTTCAGCTACAAGTATTCTTCTTTCACAATGTTTATGTGTTAACTGAAGCCAACATTGCGGTAGAATCTCGTTTTCCACTAAACTTTGTCCAGAACATTTTGCAATTGCAACCAAGCCTGAGAATATTAAATATTATAAATTTTATACTTTTTATAACTTAAAAGCATTTTTGGTATTTAAAATAAAACTTAAAGCAAATAAATCATATTATTATTATTTGCGCAACGACAATAATTGTATAATTATTATATTTATAAAACAAAATTTTTACCTGCTAATATTATTTGCCTTTCCAAAACTCCAGGTTTTTTCTTCAAATTAAACAACTGCTGAAGTAACTTATCCCTTTCTGAAGCTTTGGGATGTAAATGAATTGTTTTAATTAATAATGGAATGACTTCTTCTCTTTTGTTCAAAATAATGTTTGGTACTATTTTTAATAAAGAATCTGACAAAGTATGTACCAATGTGTCAGTTGTTATTGTTTCGTTCAAAATGTTCTCCAAAGTATCATCATCTACTTTTTTTGGCAATTTAACATAACATAAATTAAAAACCTCCGTTAAAAATGGTTCCTTGCTAAAATTATAACTATGGTCCCAACTTATTTTATTTATGTTTTTTAAATATCCAAACGAGTCTTTTGTTACTCCTTTAGATTCCTTTTGAAAGTCACCCTCTTTATTTTCTGTTATACAAAGATTTGTCCATTCGTTTATGTTAAAACTATTGTTAGATACATTATCCTCCATAATAATTATACTTTCACTTTTTTTGTCAATTATTTCAAATCGTTCAGGCGAATCACTTCCCAATGATCCTTTGTTACTGGGTAGTTTTTTTGCTAGCTCTGATAGGTCTTCATTGTTTAATGAGGATGATAATAAGTCATTTTCTTTTTGTAAATTTAAATTAAGACAGTTTAAATTAGAACATTCATTTTCTATGTCTTTTAGTTTTGATTTGATGTTTAATAATTCATCTTCCTATAATATTAAAAAAAAATAAAACATAAGCAATATAATAGTATATTACACTACAAGGGCAGAAAGTGTGAGATTCCTGCACTGCGCGCGCAGTTCAGGGCTCTCACACTTTCTGCCCGTGTAGTGTATACTATTTTTCTTGCTACCCGGCCGAAAATACAACCCAACCCAACCCGGCCGAAAATACGGGAAAAAATTAAATGTGTATATCGAAACATATTGATGCCTGCCCCGACATTTGCGGCACGAGAGAAGCCTTCGTAGCCCTTGTAGTGTAATATACTCGAAAATACGTTGTTTCGTCCCCGATTCCAATGCATCAAACGTAAATTTGACCAATGCATCAAACGTAAACTTTCTGCCGTGGAATCGGGGACGAAACAACGTATTTTCAGCAGAGGTAGTAAGAAAAAATATTAAAATCATTTTAAAAGGTTAAACAATGTTTACGTTGAGAAAATTTTAGAAATCGTTTAAAAGCAGCGTCCGGCCTCGGTCGTGTAGTAGTTAGCGCTCCTGACTATGAGGTCATGGGTTCGAATCCCACGTGGGTATGGATGTTTATTTGTGCTTGTACTATTGTGATGTAAAAATTATATACAATTTAGTGACTGGATACATTGACAAAAAAACCTAAGCAGCGGAATTTCATGAATATTTTACTGAGGTGTTGAATCGCTGTAAGTTATAAATAAAAAAAATCAGGGAAAACAGTAACTGTGAAGTGACAAATTTATTTGTTTTACACTCATTTGAGGCTTACAAGTGCCTCTATTAGAAATACAACGTTTAAAACGATTATTAATCTGTACAAAACCCAAAGCACAAAAATTGTAAACAACAAAAATGGCCGCCATTAAATTATGTACAATGTTGCAGTGATTTTTAGTATTTTTAGTACGAGATTGAACAGACCTTGTTGTGTGGATTGTAGTTTGATAAGGAGGGGCATTATCGTCCATAAAAATGAATTCCGGACCAACAGCACCTTTCCACAGGCGTACTACAGGTCGAAGAATAGTGTCAATAAAAACTTGTCCGTTCATGTTGCCATTGATGGGAATTAAATGAGTTTTATTATTCGCCCTGATACCGCCCCAAAACATGATGGTGCCACCTTGGTATGGGACTCTTCGGAGAGCTTGCTCAAGTCTATCTTGTTGTTTTGGGTTCCGCCAAACCCTAATCCGGCGACTATCGGACACAAGACCGACCGATTCTGGTCTCGTCTGAAAAAAGCACATTTCTCCATCTGTTCTCATCCCATTTTAAATGTTCGTTGGCCCATTCCAGTCGGTTTCTTTTATGTTCTAACGTGACTTTTGGGACATACAGCGGTCTTCTCGTGAATAAATTTGCTACATGTAACCTATTCCTTATCGTTTGATCACAAATGACAATATTGTGAGCATGCTGGAAGTCTCTTCTAATGGCTGGGGCAGTCGCAGTGCGGTTTCTCCGGGCAGTTAATGTTATAAAACGGTCTTGAACATCGGTGGTAATTCTGGGCCTTCCACTTTTCGGACGATCATGGACTGAGTTTGTCTGTGGAAATTTTTTTACAATTCGAGAAACATCACTCTGATTAACTCCAACCCGAGCAGCTACGTCAGCCTGTGTGTGGCCTTCCTCAACCAAAGTAACAATTTTAGCCCTATTGAACTCACATATCACTTGTCGATTCATTTTCTTCACCAGAAAATGAGAAAAATCAAAACAAATTTTAACAACTATGGGATTACAAACTTTAATAACCACAATATCGAGAAATCAAGCACCCAGATCGAAGCAATAACAAAAAACGCGCAAAAAACATTACGTTTAAATCGACTAACAAAATTGTGCAAAAAAAATCCATATAAGAAAAGTTCAGTGGCATTTAGATAAAATGCAAAACATTTTTGAGTGTGTGTATATGATATATGCCATGTGTCAACAAAAATATAATAATTATAATAAAGTTAACCAAAACTAGCTGTTACGGCGGAAGTTGAGCAACACATGCTAAACAGCTAGAACCACATTAAAGGTAAGTTAAATTTATACATATGTATATTAATTTTATCTAAGAAAATTACTGAATAACCCAAACTAACCTTCCAAAATTATGACAATGACAACTATATGAACAATAATTGGACTAAAATTTCTTTTTGTAGGTTCATCTAGGATTCAAAATAATTGCGTAATAAAATGCTCTGCCCAATTATCTCAAAATGTAAGTTTTTCGTTAATACTCGTATTTTATTATTTATTTAAGTATTTTGTCTTAAATCTATTTTGGATGTTCAGTATATTTTGGACGTTTTTTGTCAAAAATATACAGGGAGTCCATACAAAGTCATCGGTAGAAAAATGTCATGTCATGTTTTTTTGTTCCATTGTAGCCGTATACTATAGTACCGAGTATTATGTAAGGGATATTTAATAAAGCACTTTCTGCTTTATTTAATACCTAAACTTAAATTATAATGTTTTTTTGGTAAAAAGTATCATTTTTTGAAATTTTTGTGTCGTTTTTTTAATTACTAATTAAATTGAAAATGCAACAAAGTAAACGGGTTTCGGTATAAACATTACTCTTCGACTATTATTTGATATTTTGTTATTCACATCATGCCTAAAGTACCCAAAAATTCAATCTCCAATCTTATTTATCAAAATTTAATATCGAATTGAAGTATAAAGGTGCCTTTACCTACTTTATCATTCAAGCACAATAAAGTGCATCTATTCATTTTTGACATTTATATACAAAAGTCCCAGAAGCCAACTGAATGGCTTAGGCAGGTTAGGGGTAGGAACAGACCGCGGGCTTAAAGTCCCCTCCGAAGGACTAATATACAATAGGACAAACTCAAATAAACAGCCCCTAGTGGGATTCGAACCCACGACCTTTAAAATTTAAACTTTGAATTGTATTTTTACTTGAAAGTGATTTTAGGAACCAAAAATTAAAAAAAGAGCAGGAAATGGAAGGAGACGAACCTTTATGTCGTCGTTGTAAATTTGTTTTTTTTATGTTGCGGTCTCTTTACGCCCAAAAAAAACAAATCAATATTTTATTACAAAATTTTAAAAGATATACCTACCTACTACTTCAATTTTGCAGGAATATTAAATGGACCTGATATACGATGTTTAATGAAAGATCAAGCATTCAAAATGCTCTCAAAGTTGACGAGCTTGTCGCATATAGCAGTGTTAAAGCTGTCATTGAAAATGTTCTTGGTTCATATCGGGCCTAAAATTGGGGACACTTCAAGAAAAAATGCTCTCCGCCTTTTAAAGAATTACCGTTAATATGTATTTAAAATACATTTTCATCCTGATAAATTAGCCGAACTGATGAAAATGGAGAACGATTTCAACCAGTAACTGCAAATCTAGAGCATTAGTAGATATGTATGAGTACAGCGGAAAGAAGTTGGATTCATTGCTAGAGGAGATTTGCTGGAATTTGCAGCAAAAAATTTACGACATTGATGAGGATTAAGCAAAATAATACTATAATTCAATTCGATATTTAATACGATTTAATAAATTTAAGGTAAAAAAAATAAAATTATGCAATGCATTAAATTATGTGGGCTTTATTTGGATAAACAATACCATAACTTGTTTCGTTTATTGCCCTTTCAATTCAATAATTAAAATAAACGACAAAAAATGGTTGTTTTTTTACATAAAATACATTAAAATTTTAGTTTTAGTATTTAAAATGTCATATTGTTAAGTTAAATATGACCTATTTGAAGTGTAACAATTACTTCAGTACATTCAAGATAACTTTAAGCGAAAATAATTTAAAAATAATTAAAATACTAACAAAAAACTTACATTTTGAGGTGATTGAGCAGAGCATGTAATTACGAAATTATTTTAAATCCAAGACGTCCTAGAGAAAAACGAATGACATTTTTGAAATCAGCGGCCCAAAATTAGTTAAACTAAGCTGGAGTACTCAATGTTAGGGAAAAAAAAAGAATGCGACTTTTTAATATTTCAATATTTGTCTCCTTTTATAGCTACTGTATAAGCTTCAAATATGAAAATAACAAAACCAAACTACCAGGCATTTCAACATCAAGGTAGGCATTTAAACATCCTCATATAATGGCCTAAATAATGCAATTTTCTATAATTTCAAAATTTCAAGCAATTATTTTTGGAAACCGTATGCCAAACGGGTGAATTGTAAGTTATATTTTGTCTTTAGTATGTAACTTAATATAATATGAAAATAATTAGTTGTTCATATTAAACAGCCAAGGCATGGGACGCATTTAAAAAACACGAGAAATTAGTAAAATACATGTTTTTTCAGCACTTTAGAAATAATAATTGGGTGAATTTATATTTTTTTTATAAAAACTACTATTTTTTAGCTTTAAAATTACATCTTAAAATTTAAAATATCTTTAATAGAAAAAAAATGACAGCTTAAATTATTAAAGCATAAAAATGACGTTTTTAAAAAGTTTAAATTCGAATAAGCCGGATTTGACACATGCGAAAAATTAAATAACAGTATATTTAACTTTTACGTCGAAAGCAACTCTTAAATATTCTCCTCAAATAACTCATAGATTCTACCAACACCAGCTCCCCCCATTTATTATCAATCTGATTAAAAGAAAGAGATCTATGTATAGGGAATACAGGTCAACTGGAGACATCACGATAAAAAGTGAAATAAATCGTTTTAATCACACTATGCAAAGGCTTATCCAAGATTTCAAAAACCATACCTTTTTAAAGACATGTGAAGAAATTAACTCCAAGAAAGGCAAAACTTACTGGCAGGACATTAAAAAATTAAGTAAATATAAAGTAAACAGAAATAAAATCGAATCCATTGAAGAAAACGGCATTTTGGTAGATTCCAACATAGAAAAAGCTGAAGCATTCGCCCGTTACTTTGGAGGAATATACGAAGAATCACGGGACCCTTCATATGACCTGGAGACATATAATATGGTTGACACATGGTTTGCCAA